GAATGCACTATAATTGAACAAATATTTTCTAAACTCCACTATCCTCGTCACTTCATCAGAGACTGCAGACGGCGAGCATTAAACATCTTCAACACACCCAGAGAAGACACTGCCGAGAAGAGATACATAATCCTTCCCACCAACTCCATTGCCAAACATGTTTCCAACATCTTTACCAAAACATCATTCCAAGTATCTACCTCCACAACCACGACCATCAAGGACATCACCAGTAGTAGGCAGGACAAGCCTCCATCCTCTGCAGGGTATACATAATCCCTTGCAATGACTGCAACAAGTTATACGTGGGCGAAACATCAAGGGACCTCCAAACACGTATTTCAGAACACCAATACGCAAGCAGGTCTGACGACACAAGGAATGCCTGCGTACAACACCGTAATTCACACAACCACTTGATAAACTACAGAAACTCAAGACTTATCGCCACAGAAGACAACACTCAATACCGAAGAATCCTGGAATCATCACTTATTTCTATATCCGACAACTTCAACCAGAATAGTGGCTTCTATAACATAGCTGAACCACTTGCCAAGAAACTTCTTCATCGCTATCCCACATAAGAACACTGTAGAAGGTCTGCTCACAAACTTATCCAATCTCCTTTCCAAGCTACCCAAGTTTTTAGACTCTATAACCCCACTCGGTACATCATCAGATGCAGCATTCTTCACCTGACCTCAGCCAGACTATAAATACTCGCGTTCCTTCCACCCCAGGTAGTTCTGTTTGTGACTTGAAAAAGCCCACTGTGTGGGCGAAACGTAGTCAATAAAGGATCACATTATACTGCATTTGTGTTTATATTTCCATTACTGCTACCCCTTCCTTTGCTCTAACTCTCTCAGATACTCCAGATTTAATCCCATTTATTTCCCCCCACCGAAACTCCCCTACCCCCTTCAGCTTTGTTTCGCTTAGGGCCAGGACATCCAACTTCTTTTCATTCATAACATCAGCAATCATCTGTTTCTTGTCATCCGCACTACATCCACGCACATTTAAGCATCCCAGTTTTATAAAGTTTTTCTTCTTCTCTTTTTTAGTAAATGTCTACAGGAGAAGGGGTTACTAGCCCATTGCTCCCGGCATTTTAGTCGCCTCATACGACACGCATGGCTTACGGAGGAAAGATTCTTTTCCACTTCCCCATGGACAATAGAAGAAATAAAGAGGAACAAGAGCTATTTAGAAAAAGGAGAAAAACCTAGATGTATGTATATATATATGCATGTGCGTGTCTGTGAAGTGTGACCAAAGTGTAAGTAGGAGTAGCAAGATATCCCTGTTATCTAGCGTGTTTATGAGACAGAAAAAGAAACCAGCAATCCTACCATCGTGCAAAACAGTTACAGGTTTCTGTTTCACAGTCATCTGGCAGGACGGTAGTACTTCCCTGGGTGGTTGCTGTCTACCAACCTACTACCTATCATTTATGGACAATAAACAGTGTTTGCACTTTACACACTCACCCATTTGACCATAAACAGAAATATCAATCTCAATCTTAAAATAATGAATCTTAACTAGTCATAAGTGATACTCCAATACTGAAACTATGTATAGTGCCAAAACAAAAGCATTCACATTGCTAAACTCACAAACTAGTATTTAGTCACTTAGCCATAATACCAACTTACCTCATAATTTTGTAATATTTTAAACTTAAGATTTAATCTAAGTCTGCCCGAAATGCCTAGCCATGCTAGGCGTTCTAGTGGTACACTCTGTAATTATTATTCTACTACATGTAAACCACACAATAACCAAATTCTGTAAACTCAGCATTGTAATCCTTATAGAGAATAAACTTTGAATTGAAAAAAAAAAAAAACTTTGAATTTATTCATTGGAACTATGGCTGAGGCTAAAAGTAAGCAGGTTTTAACCCTTAAACTGTCCAAACGTAGATCTACGTTTTTTCAACATTTGAAGTATGTAAAAAAAACGTAATTTTTTTTTTTTTTACATCTGAAAATGTGTAAAAAAAAACTTTGATCTACTTTTTTTTTTATATTTGAAAATATGTAAAAAAATGTAGATCTACTTTTGGAGCACTACGCATGTCAACATAAATTTGTTTGGACAGTTTAAGTGTTAAACAAACTGAATGGTTGTTTATGCAGCAAGCGGTGCTACCAAATAGTAGCGGCAGGTTGGTGTGGCAACCTGGGAAATTTGAAATTATGCTAGCCAAAATTAGTGCCTGATTAGTGATAGAACCGGATTAGTGATTGTTGGATTAGTGATGGATGACCTGTATAAAGTGTTTTAAACAACTCTCTCTCTCTCTTGAAAGCCACTCGTATGTTTGTGAGCTTGGTCTGTGATGCTCGTGTTAGTCTGTTTGCTTGTGCCTCAGCAGACAAGTTAGAGGTAATGCTTATTCCCATTTTTTTTTAACTGTTTCTGTGAGTATGCCCTCCATACAGATGGTACAGCACTGTACTCTACTTTCAGCCTCCCATTCCCACCTAACATCCTAACATCTTCATAATTTTGACTGTACTAGTCAATTTCCAGTGACCATTCTGGGTGCTTTATACAATATGTCAAATCTGTCATATCTGCACACCTTTGGCAAGAGTGATAGAGTGAATGATGGTAAAAGTGTTTCTTTTTTGGGTCACCCTGCCTCAGTGGGAAACAGCCGTGTTAAAAAAAAAAAAAAAAAAAAGTCAGGCCCATTTTAAAGTATGTAGCACCAGTATGGAACCAACGCCTGAGGTAACATGTTAAGAAACTGGGGAAGTACAAAAGTGTAACAAGACTAGTTCCAGTGCTATAAGAAAAGGCTAAAATAATTTAATCTAGCAACCCTGGAGGACAGGAGAAAATATTCAGAGGAATTGATAAGGCAGACAGGGACATGTTGTTTGAAAGGCAGGAAACATGTACTCAGGGGCACAGCTGAAAGCTAAAGACACAGATGAGTCACAGATGCCAGGAAATATTTTTTCAGTTTTAATGTGCTCAGGAAGTGGAATGACCTTGAGCTGATGGAGGCAGACTCCTTACATTGTTCTAAGAATAGGTATGATAGTGCCCACAAAGATAGGGGTGAATCTGGCAAGCAGCAAGTTGAGAGGCAAGGCCAGGAGCTAAGACTCAACTCCTGCAAACACTTACACTGGTCTGCATGATTCTTTTTATTGATTCTATGTTATCTTTTTTGGAATATATATGGAAAATAGTAATTCACTGTGTTTTTTATTCGCCTCTATCACATCAGATTGCCAAGTTAGATGGAAACATTACTTTTCTCTTTTCATATAACATAAGTAAATGAGAAAGTGGTATATTACCGATTAAAATGCTTACCTTATATTGACTTAAATATTAAATCTAATATACTTTTCTTTATTTTCAGATTGTTATTATGTCTAGAGGCTGCATAAATTCACCAGACATATTTTGCTATGTCTGTGGGCAATTCACCCCTTCAGATTCCCGGAGCAACATTACTCCTTTATTGAAGTGCTGCTACTTTGCTTATTTTGGCTGCAAATTTGGAGACCAGGACAAACCATTTGCAGCACACAAAGCTTGCACAAGTTGCATCAGTAAGCTCCAAATGTGGTCAGCTGGAAAACTTAAATTTATGCCCTTTGGAGTACCAATGGTATGGCAGGAGAAGATGAACCACCATGATGACTGCTACTTTTGTATAAATAAAGTAGTTGGATTCAACAAGCAGACTAAAGATTGCATAATACAGTGGATCCTCAGGTAACGATGTCATCGGATAACGAAAAAATCAGATAGCAACACGTTTTTGCATCAAAATATTGACTCGGTTACCGAAAAAAAACTCGGTCGTCCTCAAAAAAGTTGGAGGGTGGGGGTAAAGGTGGTTTTGTGGGAGAGGGGCTTGGACTTCCAACAAGCGTGTGTGAGCGTGTTAGATAGGAGTGAATGGAGACGAATGGTATTTGGGACCTGACGAGCTGTTGGAGTGTGAGCAGGGTAATACTTAGTGAAGGGATTCAGGGAAACCGGTTATTTTATATAGCCGGACTTGAGTCCTGGAAATGGGAAGTACAATGCCTGCACTTTAAATGTTGGAGTTTGGGATATTGGCAGTTTGGAGGGATATGTTGTGTATCTTTATACATATATACTTCTAAACTGTTGTATTCTGAGTACCTCTGCAAAAACAGTGATTATGTGTGAGTGAGGTGAAAGTGTTGAATGATGATGAAAGTATTTTCTTTTTAGGGATTTTCTTTCTTTTTGGGTCACCCTGCCTTGGTGGGAGACGGCCGACTTGTTAAAAAAAAAAAAAGGACATTCGTCCCAAACGTGTCTGCGTGCCCAGAGCGGGCTTGGCCACTCCATGTACAACTAGTGTGCCATTGTTTACAAGCCAGGGAGGACGATTCCACGGATACATGAGTACATGTGTACATGAGACCCATATTGGAGTATGCAGCACTAATATGGAGCTCACATTTCGTCAAGCACATCCAGGAATTGGAGAAAGTGTAGAGGTTTGCAACAAGACTAGTCCTGGAGCTAAGGGGTATGTCCTATGAGCAGAGGTTAAGGGAACTCAACCTGATGAAACTGGAAGGTAAGAGGACTATGGTGGATATGATAACAATGTACAAAATACTGAGACAAACTGACAAGGTGAATAGGGGCAGATTATTTGAGAGATGGGAAGCAAATACAAGGGCACAGCTGGAAGTTGATAACACAGACGAGTCAGGAAGTGAAACAGTCTGGGGAGCAAAATGGTAGTGGTAGGATCCATACATAGCTCCAACAATGGGGTACAGTAAGGTTCTCAAAGCCAGGAGCAAGTGAACTTAGTAACAATCAATGAAGAGGCAGGACCAGGAGCTGTGACTTGATCCTTGCAACCACATACAGGTGACCCTCCCTCTCTCCCCTCTCCCTCTCCACCTCCTACCCCACTTTCCCTCCCTCCCCCCCTATCTCAATACATTATATTTCAATGTTTTACCACTCACCTTGAAAAATAATTGTACAATAAGAGGGTCAAGAAAGGTTTCTCTCCACTGCTGACCTGGTCGAAGAGATGGATTCTGATCTTGTTCGAACACACTCATCAACCTCTTGGGCAGTGTACAAATGTTAAGGAAAATAATAATTAGATTAAGAAATGTCAACATATAATAACTAATTAATCATGGCTAAAGTGTCATTATCAAAATAACCAGGAAGTACTTACGTTCAAAAAATACTGCCAAAACGGTAAATTCCTGAGCCGGGTAGCTTAGAATAATTTTTTGTAGCAAATGTGCTGTCTCCCACTGAGGTAGGGTGACCCAAACAAGACAAAACACTTTCACCATCATTCACTCAGTGTGTTAACACTGAAGTTCAGATGACCCTCTGAATGGCATCATTTTCCCAATGCAGGTACTGTACTTCCTATCTCCAGGCCTACCTCCAGCAAACTGGTTTCACTGAATATTTTATATTATTATTAACGCATTGGCCGTTTCCCACCAAGATAGGGTGGCCCGAAAAAGAAAAACTTTCACCGTCATTCACTCCATCACTGTCGTGCCAGAGGTGTGCTTACATTACAGTTATAAAACTGCAACGTCAACACCCCTCCTTCATAAATGTTACTTTGCTCACACTCGAACAGCGCATCAAGTTATAAAAACCACTTCTCTCCATTCACTCCTTTCTAACATGCTTCCATGTGCCTGTTAAGATGTCCAAGTCCCACGAGTACAACTCTTCCATTACCTTCTTCCTTCCAACCTTTCCTAGAATGACCACTAACCCCTCCTCTCCTCTGCTATACAATGCAATATTTATTTCTTTATGCAGTACAAATAATGTCATTTACATGTAATAAAACATTGGTAGGTACAAAAGAAGGCCACTATTTATGCAATACATTTCAGACAAACTAATCGTGATGCTTAAATGTTACTCAAGATCCAGATATATATAATTAAGTAGGGCTTCCTATGCAGTTAACTACAATCATAAGTACAATATGAGAGGTAGCCAATGAACAAACAGTACAATTTCTAAAGTCATCCAGTATTGCTCCATCTTCTCTAATGTCCAAATCAGTAACCCCTCCTCAGCCATCTGAATAATACTTTTAGCAACCCTGCACTTCCAACTAATCTCTGAACTACAAATTTTCTGCATAATATTCACCCCACATACCCTCAGACACAGCATCTCCACTGCCTTTGTTGTCACAGAATTGATGAGGGGGAAAAAGAAACTTTGATTCGTTTTTTTTATTGACACATCAGCCATTTTCCCTAGGTTGTAGGTTGGTAGACAGCAACTATCCAGGGAGGTACTACTGTTCTGTCAAGTGAGTGTGAAATGGAAACCTGTAATTGTTTTACATGATGGTAGGATTGCTGGTGTATTTTTTCTGTCTCATAAACATGCAAGGTTTCAGGTACATCTTGCTACTTCTATTTACACTTAGGTCACACTACACATGCATGTACAAACATATACTGTATATTCAGGGAAACCGGTTATTTTTATATAGCCAGACTTGAGTCCTGGAAATGGGAAGTACAATGCCTGCACTCTAAAGGAGGGGTTCGGGATATTGGCGGTTTGGAGGGATATGTTGGGTATCTTTATACGTATATACTTCTAAACTGTTGTGTTCTGAGCACCTCTGCAAAAACAGTGATTATGTGTGAGTGTTGAATGATGATGAAAGTATTTTCTTTTTGGGGATTTTCTTTCTTTTTGGGTCACCCTGCCTCGGTGGGAGACGGCCGACTTGTTTAAAAAAAAAAAAAAAAAAAAAACCTTCGGCTTTTCTTCTATTTTCATACTAGTTCTTGCTTTTGTTTATTTCTGCTTATCTCCATGGAAAAGTGGAACAGAATTCTTCCTCTGTAAGCCATGCATATCGTAAGAGGCAACTAAAATCCTGAGAACAAGGGGTTACTAACCCCTTCTCCTGTATATTTAACCCTTTAACTGTCCAAACATAGATCTATGTTTGTGTGTGTAGCGCTCCGAACGTAGATCTATTTTTTACATAAGAAAGAATGTAAAATTGAACGCAGATCTACGTTCGGAGCTCTAGGTGCGCGAACGTAGATCTACATTTGGACAGTTTAAGGGTTAAAAAGAGAAACTTTCGTTTTTCTTTTTGGGTCACCCTGCCTCAGTGGGATACAGCTGGTTTGTTGAAAGAAGATGATCAGCAGTTTCCCACAAAGGCAGGGACACCCAAAACAGAAGAAACATTTTTATCATTCATTCCATCACTATCTCGCAAGAGGCACGCCTACACTACAGTTAAAAAACTGCAACATACACCCCTCCTTCAGAGTGCAGGCACTGTACTGCCCACCTCCAGGACTTACTTCTGGTTAACCGGTTTCCCTGACACTGACACTTTAACAGCATGTCAAGTCATAAAAACCACTCTCCTCCACTCAGTCCTAACATGTTCATGTGCACCTGCTGGAAATCCAATCCTCTCACACACAAAATCTTCTTTACCCCCTCCCTCCACCTTTCCTAGGTCAAGCCCTACCCTGCCTTCCACTACAGATTTATATACCCTCCAAGTCATTCTATTTTGCTCTATCCTCTCTAAATATCCAAACCACCTTAACAACTCTTCCTCTCCCTGGACAATACTTTTAGAAACCCTGCACCTCCTTCTAATCTCCAAGCTACAGATTTTCTGAATTATATTCACACTGCACATTGCCTTCAGACACAACATCTCTACTCCCTCCAGCCTTCTCCTTGTTGCAATATTCACCACCCATGCTTCACACCCATATAGGAGCATTGGTATAACTATACTCTCGTACATTCCCCTTTATGCTTCCATGGAAAACATTCTCTGTGTCCACAGATTCCTCAGCATTCCATTCACCTCATCAGTTTTATGATTCACCTCATCTTTCACAGACCCATCTGTTGATATCTCCACTTCTAAATATCTGAATACATTCACTTCCTCCATACTCCCTCTCTCCAATCTTTCATTACATAATTTTTTGTTACCCTTTCCTACATTCACTTCTAATTTCCTTCTTTTACTTACCCTTCCAAACTTGTTCAGCAACCTCTGCAACTTCTCTTCAGAATCTCCTAAAAGTACAGTGTCATCAGCAAAAAGCAACTGTAATAACTCTCACTTTGTCTTAGATTCTTTATCTTTTAACCCCAAATCTCTTGCCACTACCTGAGCATTCACTCCTCTTACATAAACCCCATCTATAAATATACTGAACAAAAATTATGATAACATCACATATTCCTGTCTAAGGCCTACTTTTACTGGGAAATAATCTCCCTTTCTCCTACATACTCTAACCTGAGCCTCAATATCCTCATAAAAACTCTTAGCTGCTTTCAGTAACCTATCACCTATTCCAAACATCTGCCACACTGCTCTCGATTCATGTTTTCATAATGTTGGGCAGACCAAATAAGAGTAAAAAAAATTTCCTCTATGACCAATACATTAATTTTATGTTGGAGATCAATGAAACAGGTCACTGTGTTGCTTTTAATAATCAAAAACTATTTGTATCTTTTTCTTAAAAATATCAGGAAAAAATGTATTTGTATAATACTTAACCCTTAAACGGTCCAAACGTATACATACGTTCACGCGCGTAGCGCCCCAAACTTATATATACGTTTTCTTTGTCATTCATTCAACATTGCCATGATAAGCCTGAGTCACCTAGACATGAGAGAATGGGTGTGCGCACTCACTGTGTGCCATATTAAAATAATTGGGGATGCCTGGGTACCATATGTTCTTTTTTCCTTTTAAAAAAAAAGATTTTTTTTTTCTCAAAAAATTTGGGGCACTACGCGAGTGAACGTATATATACGTTTGGACCGTTTAAGGGTTAAAATGTAACCTAGGTCCAAATTAGTGTGGTACAGCATGCAGAATTCTGATACAATATGCCCAGTGAGTTAAGTAAGCTATGAGTTTAAGAAGAAGGAATGTCTACCCAGACACCTTCAACACAGCAAGCTCTAACCATCACTGACTTTACCAATCCCATTCTCAGTGATACAAAAATTGCTCTTCTTATACATATGCACTACTCTGGATGCCCTGTGGTCAGTACAATCTGCACCCTAGGAAAGTTTTCAAACAGCAATTATTGCAAATTACCGTTAGCAGCAGATCGTACCTCATCTATCCTTGAGACAAGAAAAACTGCTTGCAATTTCAGATCTCCAGCATCCAAGATCCAGACTGAACATGCTGGGCAAATCACAAAAAAAAAGATTACAATGTTCAAGATGGATGAGGACATCTGCAGATTGTATATTGCAATGCACCACAGAGCAGCAGACATGGGCACATTCTTCAAGCATGAAAATACCCTTATCTTCCCTCTCTGACAAGAAAAAAATATGGCTGGGAAAGAACTCTGATCTGAAATGCCTAGTGAGTCTACCCTAACACAGAACTGCATCTGCCACTTTTCCGATCACAGCATTAGTTTGTCCAAGTCTTCCTGAAATTCAATAGTATCCCACTCTGAATCTATTATTCAACCTACTTTTGTATCTCTAGCAACTTCACTCCTGCTGTCAACAGTGATACTTGTGTAGTACACTTATAGAGATTCCCAGCTACATTACAGTAAGGCTCCCTTGCTAATCATGATGTTACGTCCTCCCATGAACCAGCGAGTTAGCCCACTTCTCGATTAGGCATAGAAGACAGTGGATAGGCAGGCCTAGGTCCTCTCTCAAGTATCCATAATATAATGCCTCCGAACTGCCTACAATTGTTTCCATTCAACCATCTATCCCTTTGATGAATGCCACAACATTGTTGTGTTATTCCCGTATCAAGGTCATTAACCCTTTGAGGGTCAGAACCCTTGATCTGAAACTTGGTCTCAGGGGTAGGAGAACTAAAAAACTAACTTATGAAATGATAATTTTTTTCTGAAACAAATGAAACAAAAAGTACAAAATTTGATGGAAAACATATGGAATTACACTCTCGCAAAGTTATAAGTCTAGGCAATACGAATTGGCGATTTCTCATAATTTGAGCTCTATTTTCAGCCAATTCCATTGTCCCAGTCAACTAAACTCTCAGCTATTTTGCTA